TTTATGAAGTCGACTCATTATCTTATGTGCGGTTTAGGTCGACCCATGCGTAGACTTCTTCGAATTCACTTGTGGAAACTGGAAAGCCAAACACCCAATTCCAAGTAATAGGATCAGCTACTCTCAACTTGACGTACTCTCCGACGAAATTCAAGTGGAAATGAAAGGTAATAATTATGGCCTCTAGAAATTTGTTTACTTCTATAATGTATGGCGATGATCGCAATTAACGCAGTGGGTGTACTGTGCAGACCGGAACAGAATTTGGACAGTGGCATAGACTATTTTGTACTATTGGGCTTATGTCGAACACTTTTCAGTAGTTTTCGAATCGAAAGAAGTTAGTCTTTCGAAATCGACTAGTGCTGTAAAGGTGATGTATCGCAAATGCATGGACAAAGACGAGCTTAACCGGATTGGAGCAAGAAAGCTGATAGAGACAATAAAGGTGGGCATTCTTGAACTAATTGTGTGTTCGTAGTTTGAGGAAACTCAAAAGAATATCAAAGGATCTTTCTTCGGAGTAAAAGGATGGATATAACGTGGTAAAAAAAAGTACTTGAATAGGGAAATGCATTTATCGTTCCATAGACACTATTTGCAAGGAGTAAAAATAGCAAATAAAACAGGATTTTTATGCTTAGAAAATGCCTATGGTTTAACTCACAATGTCGTCAGTTTTTATTTCTTGCGTGCTACTTTTTATTGGTAGGGTTTAATGTGAAATATAACCATAACGATGCTAAGATATTTGCAAAACTCCGAATTGCTGGTTTCCGCGGTGAGGACCGAACCCGCCATTGTTACCCTTTCCTTGGGCTAACGTATTTCACCACCATACCGTGCGAGTCATTCGTTTTGCCTTTCTCTCGGCCACGTTAATGAATTATGACCACAAGCACCAACGGTCCGGAGTTTTGCCAATATCGCAGCCCCATTATGGTTATGATTTAATCATTGTTTTAGATCTTACCTGTTTCCATGGGAAACTATGACATGATTTGCAGCTAAAAGAATGCTGAGATTTGAGCAAAATTGGGGACCTCAATTGAGATTCAGACCCGCAATTATCCTTTTATGCAGGCTCATGTGCTACACACCACACTAACCGAGTTCCTTGCTTTCCCTTTCTCTCAGCCAGATTTTAACTTTACCTCAAAAGGGGGTATAAATGGGTTCGAAGCTCCCATGGCGTTCCGAGTTTGGTCCATATCTCAACATCATTGTGATCGTGTATGACGGCATGTTTTATGCAGCCAATTTATTATACTAAAGATGTTATCAGCAGTCATACGTCAAAGGAATAATATAGGAAGCCTAAAACACTACTGAACACAAAAAAGCACTCGAAATTTCAGTGTTTTATGTTTTATTTTTCGCTTAAACTCCTTGTTGGCGATGCAGAGCTACGGCGAGTGGCCGATGCTGGAAGGTAACAAATGGAGTCCTGATCAGTTTGACTTGACAACTCTTCTTGTTGACATCGCAGCGGTCAGAGGAGCGGACATTTTTATTACAAACTACATCGCCCTTGACAGCAGAAACGTTTCTCGGAGATTTATAGAGGTAAAAGAGTTCATTTTGCTTCAGCTTTCCGCTCTTTAATCGTATCGTGCTCCAATAACAATTCATAGTATTTATTATAATTGTCATTATTTAGGGTACAAATTGTGGCCCTATGCAAGAGAACCGGTTGCTTTTTAGTAACCGTAGACGTGTTTCCACAAAGCTATGGTTTTTAGTTTAACCAGGGCGAACTCGGCTTGGGTGGCTCGACTCGTGATTACTATTTGGACCGAGGAAAGCATGGGAAAATAATCGCTGCTTACAGACAATTCCTCATCAGCAAGGTTACTGCCTATTCTACTACTATAAATTTAGTTTTCTTTTAAAATGAGTCAAAATTTGGTGAAGATTATGTAAACTTGAAAACGAAACTCAGTGAATCGAGTGTTTAAGGTGAAACTATTCCACGAAGACGCCGACCTTATTGCAAATGTAGGGAGAATTGCAAGCGATGTGGATGAGATTATAGAACTTGAAACTGAGCTGGCGAAGATCCTAGTGGCCGAGGAAGATCGAAGGAATTTCACTAAAATGTACAATCTGAGACGTCTCAGTGATATGCAAACACTCATGCCTTTGGTGGGAGCTTAAATCATTTAAACTGCACAAGCTAGTCAAAAAAATTATTTTTTTAAATAGTTTTATTTAACAATGGAAACCCATCACCGCTTCACACATTCTTTGATTTGGCAAGAAAATTTTCTTTCGGCTCCTAATACATTCCCAAAGAAATGCTGGTGATTTCAACCTTAAGCCGGCTTATCTTAACTCATCTTGGTATTTGCAAATTAAAATAGGAACGAATACAATCTCAATCACAAACCAATTTTAACATCCTACTGATTTGGGTGGGTGTGGCGCACTGGTCGGAGGCACCCTGCAACACACACGTTTAATTGACGCCGCACCCATGGCCCATCCTTCCGGTGTCGACGAATTGATACCAGACTTTTCTGAGAAGGCAGTAGCACTGGCTCGATACATCGGTAGGCCACCACGAGTTATTGTAAGGGCAAGATACGCATTCAGTTACCTCCAAATGATGCTTAGTGAAGTCGAGTATATGTGGCGTCCTTTTAAGGTTGATCAACGTCGAGAGCTTTATCCTTATTTTTTTTACCAATTTGGGATTCTTTTCTTTCTGAAACATGCAAACTATAGTGTTTTTGATCTTTTCATTGAGGCGTTGTATTTATAACACCGAAGCAATTGAACAAGTGGGACATCTTCCACCACGTCACGATTGTGTTCCTCAATCTAACGTTCGCGCTCATACCTGCTTCGTTTTCATTGCCAATTTTACAGATTTAAATTTCGCTTTTGGATAGTCAATAACAAGTGTTTTTTCATAAGTATGGGAGGCTCGCAGAAGTCCATCTGCTGCAGTAACCGAGAACTTAAAAGCAAGTTTCGAAAAACCAGCATGGTCGCGAATGTTAAGAGATAGACAGAGGCTCATTTTAACAGAAGCATTTGATCTCAGTTAATAAAATTTCTTTCAGGTTGACTGGGCCAGATATTTCTATTCTGTTGCACCATTTGCAGTCAATCACTATCTGGCTAAGGATCCGCAAATACTCATAACAGAAATCGATTACATGAGAAGGTGGAAGCAATTTTTAAGAATCTTCTCGACGTCTGGTGTTTATAAGTGAGTTCCAGAGTCACTGATCTCATCAACTCGACGGATCCAAGGATTATCACAAACTATGCCTATATTCGCTATTCATCCAGTTGGGGCGGCGAACTCGGTGAACGGTATGAGGACATTGCTCAGGTTTGCAGAAAGTTCATGAACTTTTGAAAGAATTCATGGCGTTTGAAAGGAATAACTCCGCAGTGAATACTACTTAAACAGCTAAGATGATGCTGAGATATTTGCAAAACCCCAGACCGCAGGTGTCTTCGGTGTGGAACGAACGCGTTTTTGTCCTTTCCGGGGAGCAGCGCGTTCACCACCACACCATGCAGGACAATAGCGCGTTTGTCCACCACCGCAATCACCTGCTGTCCGAAGTTTTATACTTCAGATATCTCAGCACCATCTTAGTTGTATTTCATATGATACCTTGCCGTTAAAAATTATAGTAGACAGTAAATAAAAGGTTAATTTTGCTTAAACGGCTTTTACTTATTGAAATTTTTATAACGTAGAACCTTTCTTCGACTATAAAGCAAATACGAGTTTTATAAAAGAAAATGCTTCTTCCACTGGATTCGAGTCGGTGTGGAAGCGAACAATCACTTCGAGACAGAGACCGGCCATGGACCATCGAATCGAATTCATCCAGCTTTGAAGAAGACGAAGACGTCTAAACGTCAAGCGCATAAATTTTTTTCTAGCAAGCCTCCTGTTTTCTTAAAACAGATGAAAAGATTGATTATTTTGTCGTGGTATAATGAACGTTGGTTTGAAAACTAGTGCAGAACGCTTCAATTCTGCCACTTTGAGTGGGCTGTCCTTTTTTGCGTTTTTCTGGCTTAAAACGCGTTTTTGGGCGATTACCAGGCACAGAGCCCCCTCCCCAGCCTAATGCGGTAGTGAATCGGTTAGCCTCCTGAAAGGGTAACAGTGTGTTCGGGCTTCACCGCAAACGCCAGCGGTCCAGAATTTCGCAAATTTCTCAACATCATCATGGTTATATTTCACATGATACCCATCCAATAAAGAAGGATAGGCATTAAATAAAAAGTGACGAGTAAACTAAGGTTTCATTCACATTAGAATAGTCGCTTCTTCGAACACTTTGCTTTTGAAAATCGGTTTACTACTCTGGTTTAAGTGTTTAGTAATTTCAATTGAAATTTTACTTTGGTGTTTTCTCTATTTTGGCTGGGTCGATTGCAGTCAACTAGACCTTTCCACCATTGATTGTTGTCTCATTTCTTGATATCTCTTATCCTATGTGATAGTTGTACATTAAAAATGCCGTCATATACAATAACAAGGGTCCTGAGATATGAGAAAAACTAGGAGATCCACGCTAGCTTCGAAAAACCCGCGATTACCTTTCCGTGGTTAGAGTAAAAAACTGGCGAAGAGAAGGAGAAAGCGAGAGTATTGATGGTGTAATGGACAACATGCGAGTCCTGGAAAGGGTGGTCGTGGGTTAGAAGAGCACTAAGTATTCTAAATTATGTTTATATGTCAGTATCATTGTTGTTGTATTTCATTCAATGTCAGCCCATAAAAGTGAGAGGCAGTAAATGAAGGTTAAACCCCTTCACGTAGTTCATAAATGTTAGGAAACCGAACATCCGTATGCTGACAGCAACGTAGTTGCATAGAGCATAAGTGTTTTTTCACAGCCCCTAAAAGTGTGAAACGTTTCAAAAATATAGGGAAAAGTATAGAGGAGCTTAAACAGAACGGTTGTAACGTTAACCACCGAAAGTAGTAACCAAGGATATAGAAAAAGTTAGAGATAGTGAGAAAAGCACAGAAAGAAGGATGAAGCGGTTTTCTTGGAGGTATGAGTTGAGATCCACTCACAATGAGTGCTACTAAAAATTAGGCACGAAATGTGGATGTTAAAGAAACGGATTTGGGCTCCATTTTCTCAGTGTTGCCAGATAATCCTCAAAACTTCTTCACTGCAGGAATCCTGTCTAAGTGAACATAATTATCAAACCGAGCGTCACTTAATCAACAGTCAGTACCATTCTGGGTTGTTATTTTAACACGAAGGTGATAAAGAGATTTATTTCGTCTAAGGTTTCGACGTCTTCGTTTTCATTAGAGGAGATGATCCGATTCGATCATTCACAGTTGTTCTTCTTCTTGATGTGGCATCTTCGTCGTTGTACCGAGATGGATCTTCTTCAGTGGAGCACCGCTGAAATGAGGCAATCTAACCCGGCGGCGTTCCTTTATGCAGAACGGTTGTTGATATGACTACTCGTTGATAATAATCAGCTCTCGAAACGTTAGCTGAAATAAATCTTTTTATCAACTTCGTATTAGCTTAAAAATTGAAGGAGGCGAGTGAACTTATTTTAAGGAGTTTAATTACGTGATGTATGGGAAAAAAAAGAAGGCTCCTCGATGGAAGGATTGCACAAGTACGACTATGGACCGAATGCAGTATGCTACTGGCGCGCTCTATGTTAGAAAAGCATTCAATAAGGTGGGCTCTTTGTCATGCAAATCAGTCAGTTTTTCGATCTAAAAACAGCTCCGTACCGTATCGCAATGTGATGGCTTCTTCAGTTATTCTCTTTGGCCTTTTCTGTAAATGTAAACCTTAGCTTTGACGATGGATATTTGCAACATGGCGACATGCTCCTCAAATTGACGGCTAAAATAGGGCCACCAAAATCTGCACCGTTTTATTATCAGTTTCTGGCAAAGTAAAACTTAGCAAATCGCAGGAATCGAAAAACGTGACGCTGCAGGTGATCAATGATCTACAGGATGCATTCCACAACATGGTGGTAGAGAACAGCTGGATGGATAAGGCTACGAAAGCGGTCAGTTGAGAATGATTTCGGAATACAGGTATTGAAATACGTTCAAAGGTTTCTACAGAGGGCGCTAGATAAAGCAAGACACATGCTTCGACAGATCGGCTATCCAGATTTCATTCTCGACGACCAGAAGGTGGATGACTATTACAATGGAGTGAGTAATTTAGCAGATATTACATACTAGGAATCGCCCTTTACAACTTGAGAGGCGTATTTGCAAATATTTTGATACTTCGGCTGCACCCTCGAATAATAGAAAACGTTGAGAACGAGAACGGCCGAAGAAACAACGTAATGAAATTTTTGCCACCTACGAAAGAATTGGAGGCGTGTAATTTCTTTGCAGCGTGTACAAACCACAACCGAATAAAAATCCAGAGACAGATTTTCCTTAACTAGTATTGTTTAATAATGCCATTCTTAATATAGTGAATTCAGTCCACAAGATAAAAAATAAATCTCTTCGAGTTAATCAATCTCTGAGGGGTGCGCCGTGCATTCGACTTCATAAAGCTTCTTTAAGAGTGACCGATGAAAGGTTTGCGGGGTCGGGGCGCTGGATCGAACCAATGGCTACGTTTGTCATGCTGGGCTCCTCTAACCATCCCACTGCACGCACTCTTGAAGCAACAGCAAGCGAAGGAAGCCCACTCCTTCGTAGGATCTCTCAAGCTGAAAACTCGGATACTTCGATATACCGTCTCTACTGGTTGTGTGGGGCTCCAAGATAATTTTCATTCACCAGTGATTTGCTGATTTGGATATTGTGGCTTCCTGCAGTCTTGAGATCAACCTACTAAAAGCCTTCCTTAGGTTCATTCCAGGCACTCGCAGGCCTTGCCGATTAGAGCGAGATCTGCTACCATGCGACTAATGTTATACTACGACGATGGTGATTTCTGGGATTAACTTATTATTCTTTGCTGGGCTTCTAGATGGAAACGTCCGACTCTTTCTCCGCCGGGGAGCCTTGCTTGGTGGATGATACCCGCGCCGTACATCGCACCGCTACAATCAGAAACACCTCCCAACCATGACGGCTCAAGTTGAGAAAGAGAAATGTATTTCCATCCAGAAGCGCAGCATCGATAAGTCGACCCCGCGATAGAACCTAATTACCTGAGGTAGGCACCTCTTCATAGAAAAAATAAAAATGAAAGGCGTTACTTCGGCATTTCCCCAGCTAATGGGGAACAGTTCGAGATGCCTTGATCAGATGTCTCCGAGTAATTCTACAAGGAACTACGTGTTGTCCGTTGTTGGATGTTTGACGTCTAGCCGTTCTAAAATTGGCGAAAAGCTGCTTTTTAATTCTTTGAACTGTATTTTCAAAATGTTTTTGAATGTTCACTTTCAGTTGTACATAAAGGAATCAGATTCGTACAGTGAAATGGTGGAGAAATTGTCTCGATGGAGCATCGAGTTGGACTTTAATCTACTTTTGAAACCCGTCGATAGGAGCGAATTTGACTTCAATCCGGTGGTCGTGAACGCTTTTTACTCGTCCACTTCAAATTCTATCAGTAAGCAGGTTGTGATTATTCCTGCCGTCTTTTCAAAAAGGAGAAATGTAGATAAAATTAAGGCAGTAAACTTCCTTTAGTCAAACAAATAAATGGGATTGAGAGGCTTTGTAGAATCTTCCGTTATATTTTCGCTTTTTATAGAGTTCCCAGCTGCCATTCTTCAAGCTCCGTTCTTCCACCAAACGTTTCCAAAGTGAGCTTTTAATGTTAATACAAAAAAAGGCATGAGGTAGAAGAGCAAATAATTTATGAAACATAGGAATACCACCAAATGTTTTTTGTTGTTCAACGATGAAGCCTAATAAGGACTATCATCCGATCTTATTTCAGAGCATTAAACTATGGAGGTATCGGGGCGGTGATTGGACATGAAATCACCCACGGATTTGATGACCAAGGTATTTCCTATTTCTTCCACCGCTTAGATTCTCTATAAGTTTTTGATATGAATATAATCATTCACGAGACTTTCAAAATTCACCTGAACAGCATCAGTTTGAAACAAAATGAAGAGGAAGCAACAACCAGACTGGTTCAGACTGGAAGCAGACGTCGATGCTTTCATTTTGCTTTCTATTTTCCTCAAGGGAAGAAAAGCAGATGTTCATTTATTTAAACAAAACAACTTCTCCTGGGAAAAAATCTCTATTTTTATGCCTTCCTTATACCTTAACCGAATTATCTGTTATTCCTGACATGAAGAATATGGAGGCAATTAGTCAAGAAGACAAGTCGTCCTTGACAAGTTGTTGGCTTGAAGAGGAGGAACTACGCGATGGAGTAGCACTTATGCATAATGTGCGGTGCTTTCCCTTATCTCCTCTGACTTCTTTAAAATCAAGTAGCTAAAAGTTCATGGTAAACGGTACAATGTTACCTGTTACTTTCTTGCATGGCCCGTCATCATTGGTTGTGCAGGAGCTCATCAGAATCACCATTCGTTTCTTTCTCGCATAACAGCCGTTCATGGTGTGATCTACACGAACGTGGCTGCGTCTGCTAGCCCTATTAGCTCGAGTAGATGCAAGATAAATTTGCCAAATATGCTCATGGAGAGAACAAAAGCCAAAAGGCACGGGTGCGTCAGAACGTTGGTTCACCGTAGTGATTTTTTGATTTTTCTGTTAGAAACCGAAAAAGTTGTAACCGTTGAATTTTTGGCGTCTCTCCAAGAAAGTGCCTGCTCTCATAGAAGTTGTTTTCTCGTTCACAGGTAGACAATTCGATGCCATTGGCAATCTGCGAGATTGGTGGGATGGCAAGGTGAAGGACAAGTTCGAGAAGCGTGCGCAATGCATTATTGACCAGTACGACAAGATAGAGGTGCGTTCGAAGCTTTGAATCACGGAGGGTTATAGCCACATACAGTTCATTAAGCCATTAAGCATTAAGAAATATAGGAAACGACTGGACAGTAAACATCGGAAAATTTTTAAAAATAGGTGACGCCTAACTTTCGCCATAGGAAATACATAAAACATAATAGCTGGCGCAACACATAAGATGGGTAGATGGTATTTGCAGAAATGTCAATAAACCTCAAGTTTACCGATTTAAAAGGTATGACAGGACATAGAAGGATTTTCGTGGGAAAAAATCGTTGTAGGTTCCTGAAACGGGCCTACGTGTGAACGGCAAGCTGACACAAGGAGAGAACATCGCCGACAACGGTGGAGTAAAGCAAGCATTTAAGGTAGACAGTCGCTCTTAGAATGAGACCTAGCTCTATTTTAGCATGAGACCTTTAGAAATCTTTCCACAGCTAGTATTTCAATTGCAGGAAAAATCGAGAAAATACCGAAGGTGAATCTCGTCTAGTGGAGAACGTTAGACACTTCGAAAATAATTCTAATGAAGAAGCTGTATTTTTAGGCGTACAAGAAATATCTGAAGAAATGTGGAAAAGAAAAGCGCATTAAAGGACTGGAAAAGTATAACAATGAGCAGATGTTCTTCATAGGATACGGCACGGTAAGTCGACGCTGACTTCTTCCGTTGGTCTCCATGTCTTTATACTAACCTTTGAACTTTTTGGTTTTTTCTTATTTCATCATTAATATATAGTAGTATTGCATTCGCCAATCCAAAATAAGCACTAATTATACCAAGTCTGTAGCATAGCGCTATAGCGCTGGGTGGTGTGGTATCATACCCTCCCACCAGGGGTCGCTTGTTTAATAACAAGAACACATCTGTCGGCTTAGAACTCAGCAGATTCAGCGTATAAACGATGCGCTATATTTAAAATAGAGAAAATTACTTATTCTCATGTGAGCTTAAGAATAAGTGCCACTGAACAGAGTTAAGCAGTGATGCTTCCTAGTTCTCTTCTCTGGTTCGCATCATTCCAAATTTGAAAGGTATTGTGAACTGTGATATCTGAATGAACTGGACGTGAACGCACTAAGCTTTTATTACACTCTAGAGCCTCCTGAGGCAGTCATATCAAACCATTTGCAGTAATCACAGCAATTACCTTCTTTTGTCGATATAATGGACTCTCCTTGAGAGTAGACTTTTTCCAGAAAAATGGTTGCAAAAGATTCCGCTTAATTAGGCTCTCCACAGAAAGTATCAAATTCTCCTCAGCAACAAGTGTACCTGTATCTAGTCATATTTCTAAGATTAGAAACATCCTTCACAGTAGTGAGAAACATCGGCAACTGAAAGAGTATTACCGCCTGAAAGAATATTTTCGCTAACACGATGTTAGGAAGAAAAAACTTGGCTAACGTTTCGACCTCTTCGTCTTCTCTACAGCTGATGATCAGAGTCACTGGTCCACAGTCGGTATTTCCCACGTTGTGGATCTTTGTTCGTTCGTGCAGAACCTCTCGAATGAAGTTTGATGATAGTGGCTGTCCGTTGATGATAATTTCTTCTTGTCAGCACACGTTTTTTGCTTCTATGAAGGTTTTTCAAGTTTTCAGAAGTTCTCTTGTTCTCTCTCCACCTTTCACCGAAAGTCTGTTTAGAAAACCGTTACTTCGCTGTAAGCAAGCTAATCTTTTAACGAATGGCTGGAGGAAATATTGATCGGTGGGAACAAGTTATTATCAAAGGGCAGTCGTTAGACAAACAGGCGTCTTATATAAGATGGCACTGTCTAATAACGTTAATTCATTCGTGTGATATTCCGTTCCACTGAATTCGAGGTGATAGGACTATAATGACCCACTCCGCAAGGGCGAGCTGCTTTGGGATATTGACTCGAATCATCCTCGCTGAAGGAGAAAACGTTAGACGGAAAAAGTTTTTTATGAACCTCGTGCTACACCAATCAACCACGAAAATATTATTGATAAGCTATAGCGAGGTTGTAGGAAAGTCTGCTTTAAAACGCTTTAAAAATAATTAATGAGCATAGTTGAACTTGGTTAGAGCTTTTAAAAAAGTTTCTTTTGATAAGAAAACGATGTAATGGCAAAGATACTTGAAAACAGTGATTTACAGGTCTGGTGTGGCCACTCGACAACGGACTATTTGATCAGTCTTATTCTCACCGATCCCCATGCTCCTGAAAAATATCGGTACATGCCTCACTGACTAATGTCACAGTGTAAAGCAGTACTGCTACCTTATCAGGCCGTGCGGTCTTGCTGTACCACATTCTTGCACCTTTCATTCTTAAAATGCAGGCATGTTATCCAGCATGAAAGTCACAAAACCACAGCTGAGAAATGCAGAAGCTTAGAAGTTTCTGCAATTTGAGAGGGCTTAGAAGGTTTTTGAATGAAAATCTTGAAGGGAGAGACACAGGACAGACAGTACAGTAGTGGATTGTTTGTAAGCGTTTCAACGCTATGTTTATGTCATAATTCGACTTTTCTTCAGTGTAAATCGAGTACTGGCTAATCAACCAGAATTCGCTGCGGCTTTCAACTGCCCCGTCGGCACACCAATGAATCCAACGGAGCGATGTGCTGTTTGGTAACAAAAACGGTATGTTCATCAGCTACTGAGAAAACGATCATCATCGATTACGTTGTTCTTTTTAATTTTTTATGTCCACATTAGCATTGTCTGATTAATGAACATCAACTGCAAGTGTTGCCCATCTTTGCTTAGGCGGAATTTTCTGCCTAGGTAAGTAATACGCCCGCTGTTCCTTCAACACGCTTGCTTTGTGAAGGAGGCAGAAGCCTTGAAATTCAATGGAGCCACTCAAAATGTACTCGTACTACGGTTGATTGCATGAAAGTTATCCTTGATAGAAACTTTCCGATTCAAACGCTTGCACTGTTTATGTACTGGCTCTGCAATGATACCTATTGCCACTAGCAGTGGAGAATGAACGAAGTGAAAAGACAGATTGCATGCATGTGGCATGAAAAGCTTTTTGTGCAAATGGCTTTGATAAAAGATTTTTTTGTCTGCCTTTCAGTGTTTGCTTACATATTTATTTGGACTCCTTTTATCCTCCAAAATCGCTACTCGAGCGGATCTTGCCCTGCTTTTGCCTATTTGAAAGCTGGTAATCTTATTCAAAGTCGTACGCTCTACACTTAACCAGATGGCCGACGAGCTCGTAACTTTTCCATAGACTGATGTGATTGCCCAGCAGTCGTTCGCTTCACTCTGACCTTGACACGCTTTGAAGAAGGAGGTGTTCCATAATAGCTACTGGCTATAAAATTCGGATGCCTGCAGGACAATTTACTGCTTGCAGTCCCAAAACGCTTTCCTCGAAAGTGAGGTTCTTACTTTCTCTGATGCTCTTACATTCACTAAAAAGTCTTCTCTAGCATAGCCTAGGATGATCCTCGTCTGTGATTTCATATTCGAAGCCTAGGTACACTTGCATTCCGTTTATAAGAAATTTCCAAAGTTACGAAGAAGTTCGCTACTCTAATTGAAGCCTTAATATCTCCCATTAAATGAAGTCGTCATCGATGTTTCAGTTAACTCGAAAACGCGGCGTTTCTGTCTGCTGTCGTGCCATCTGGAATTATGTTCACGAAAAGTGGAGCAAAAAACATTGAGCAACGGAGCGCATGTGCAGAGCCATGGTCTATTCCTGGTGCTATGTTTGACTAGTGACAATATCATTCATCATTGAATGTAGTCAAAACACAATTGTTTTTTAACATTTAACGACTCCTACATTTCGAATGTGCCGAACAGTGCCCTTGTTTTCAGTATGCGATAAAGTGTGCCTTTCCCAGAAACTTTTGAGCGCAAAAGATCTCGGCAATAGAAATCCCTTTGAAATACGATCTCTGCGTGTTTGCTAATTTAACTACCAGGTCCTACTTATGTGGGAGCGTTTTTGTTCTTAATTCGCAATATTGGGATTGACGTAAGCTGTGTGTTTGTTGAATAAGTGGAAATCTGCGGTAGACATAGTGAACACTTAAAGGCTGATTCACCCCATCAACGTGGAACGCGTTTTGGGAAACGCATGAAAGCGCGAGAGAATGTGAGCGAAATCCTGTGGGGGCAGTGTGGTAGTGCTGCGCGTACACCGTTTAATGGCGTTAATTAATTGCTTGAACCACAAGACCTCACCCAAGTTTGAGGTACTTCGGTGAACCAGATTGATGCGAAGTGAAGTCCAGTAATTTTTGTAGCACTCTTCGAAATGAGGACAACATAACCATGATGATGCTGGGATATTTGCAAAATATTTGCAAAACTCTGGACAGCTGGTGTCTGCAGTTGGGACCGAACACGCTAAAACTCTTCGCTTTCCGCGAGGTGACGCGTTCGCCACCACTTCATACGAGTCCTTCGTTTCACCATTCTCTCAGCCGTGTTATTGACCTATAGGTTCTGTCAGAAATCACCCATCAATGGGATTGGTCTGGGGAGCATAAATGAGTAGGCCAATAACACGGCTGAGAGAATGGCGAAACGAAGGACTCGCATGAAGTGGTGGTGAACGCGTTACCACGAGGAAAGGTTTTAGCGTGTTCGATCCCCACCGAAGGAGTCACCTGTCCGAATTTCTGCAAATATCACGGCAACATTGTTGTTATATTTCACATAATACCCTAGCATTAAAAATTAGTAAAGAGTAAATAAAAATTGACGATGTTGAGGGCAGTATGTTGTCCAACAAATATGTGGATGGTATGAATGTAAGAGTGGACCTACTGAGGTGCATTTAGACAAGTCCTGTTAGAAAAATTTTGATTTCGTCAAAACAGTCAGTACAAAAATTCCAAAGAGGTGCATTTGAACAGATCAACGAGGAACTGTGGTTGTAGCCGTCGATTTTGGTGTGGCAACACGGCTTTTTTATAAATGAAAAAATGAGGAATAATAAATTATAAACGCACTTAAAACAGCACTAAGTTGTAGCCATCCATTTTCTTCTCCTGTTGTCCGAAGCTCTTCTTGTAGAGAGAAAAGTGCACAGTGACTGGTGGTTCACAACTATAATTGTATCGGCCACTAATAAGTTTATTGTTTTTGCTAATGGAATTAATACCAGGATTTTTTGGTGGTATCACAACCACTACTGCGTTCTAGTCCTCATGTTGTTCGTAAAAGGAATAGGCAGTAAATATAACTTAGGATTATCCCAGTAAAATGTTTAGCTTTTTATTTACAGCCTATTATTTTATCACAGCAGGGTACTGTGTGGAATGCAACCACAATAGTGCTGAGAAATTTGCTAACCTAAGAGCCCACGCCAGATTCGAATCCGCAGGTTATGAGAAGGAGATATCGGATTGGAATCTGGCGTGGTTTCATGTTTTGCAAATATTTTAGCATCATTATGATTATTCCAGAAGAATTTAGGCATTCATGAGTGATTCGTCGAAGAAAGTCAAGCAGAAAAAACATTATACTATGCTTTTTAAAGCTGTATGCCGCTGTGTTAGGGAGCTGGCCTCCTCCAGAATTCGAAAGTGTTATAGTTTCCAATTACAGATGCTAAGATTTTTTTTGTTTTTCTCCTTCTCATGAAGTTACAGAAGCTCGTCTTAAAACTCTACGCTTTTGAACTTTTATGTTCATCCCTTCACTCGTGATATCCGTATTGAAATTCCAAGCATACACATAGGTGACCAAAATTGTGGTAAACAACCACCTACGTGCGATCACGATTATTTTACGTCACAGTGTCCTATAACTGCCCTTCTTTGGCCAAATCGTTTTTGCCTATGCGATCACAACGAATCTACGATTCATCGCACTTTTAATTTCTTTGTCCCTATTATCACGTGCTTCTTTGAAAACTCGATTTTGCAGATGAGGATGTCACCATACACCTTTACGTATGCTCTTCTTCGTATCTTCCACAGTGTTATCAAATTATCGGACTATCAGGATACGCCTATTTTAACAGCTATTGCTTCTTGATTGTCATATCATAGCAATACGAAAGTCTGTACCCAAATAAATCATTCGATCCTAGTCGTTCAAGTGTTCTCCATACATTACGGCGGAGTGAATTATACCATTATTAATCCATTACCTTCCTGGATTATTAATGCCAAGGCTAAATCACAGCCCGTTTGAAAAATTTTGGTCTTGTTGGTAGCCTTATTGTATTCTTTTCCGCTTTCTAAAAAAATCCTCCTCTAAGCGACTAAGAAATCAGAAAAGGAAACAGGATAAAGAAATAGAAATACTTTAATAACGCTCTTTTTAGAACAAATAAAGCAGCTCTTGTGCTTACATCGACTATTTCCGATTCCCTTCTGTATGGTAGTTTCATTTTGCAGGCATCCAAATCGACATGTGCTTTAATATCTTTCATTGAATCTGCGATGATACAGGTCATTGCATTAGGTTATCTGAAACAAATGCAGGTTTTTGACTCTTAACTTTCCCGTGTATGTTTGAGTAATATTTTTCTTGCGAGAATGTATCACTACATATGTATCATCTTGAATGCCGTCGAATGCTGGTCGAGCAAATTCTCCTGTAGTCCCGAAGGGCTGAACCATTCCCGATTGGATTTCAGAAGGTAATTTTTTCCCAGACAACTCCGGTGCCAATTTCCCGACGCCAAAGGGATGAGAGGCCTGCTTGGCCTTGAGCGGAATCGAACTAGCACCATGGTCGTGACCACTACCAATGCACTATCCGCTCCCTTCCCTCACATCACCGTTCACTATTTTAGAGAAACAGATCTTAAATTCTGCATTAAATCCCGAGCAATTTTATAGCCACTTTAGTTAGTAGTGAGCATAGGTCGTATTATCGTAATCACTCCCATCATGAAATCTTTAAGCAGTTTCTTTAATTTCCAATGTTACCTTCGAGAGTGCAGCATTCGTTTCAACGTTATTTCTCCACATGTCATGATTTTTCTGTTTATTTGTGAGGGTAGAGATTTCGTTTGCTCCACAGAAGTCTTGAAACGCCTTAAGCGTGGCTTCAAGACAGACAGGGGTGTCGAATTTAGAGGGTCGATAACAGAAACTTCTAAAAAAACATTTCTACCATTTTAACAAAGTTTTCTTTATTTTTCTAGTTTTTTTCTTTCACATCCGTCATCCAAGAAGGTTTTCGACATTTGGAGGCTTCGGCTGCTACCTGTAGATTTTTGTCTTCTGTACAAATGTCGCTGAATTCTATTCAAGTCGATTCTTTCTAGAATCTCAAAACGTCTGTTCAAGATCGATCAGAAGTAAATTTTAAAAAAATTTACTTCAACTCAAAGAACTCCGGTACCAGTTTATGGCTTTCGGGAGATATGAGGCTCCACGCAAGCAGGACGCGGTCGGACCTAACCTTTTCGGCAGTAAGGTGCATCGCTACCTTGCGTTACGCTCCTCATTAAGAACTTTTCTAAGAAGCGAAGTAGACGATTTTTTGCTCGATAAGGTTTTATTTTGAATTAGATATTCCATTCCCAGAGAGATAGAACGCTGGGTCTACCAAGCACCTGTGAAAAGATGGAATGACGAAACAGTTACGGTAAAAAATTGGACTAAAAAAGAACCAATTTACGCTTTCAGAGTTTCACGACTTATAACATTTTTTTTATAATTTTAAGCCACCTAATAACAGCTCTATCCTTAGAAATGCACAGAAGATCTTTTGTCTTTCTAACATCAAGAAATACAGAATTTTTCCTTCACAAACCAAGAAATCGGACCACACAAGAGCAGTTCACCTAATTCAAAAAAGGGACTCCATTCAGATTCAAACCAAAATGCTTCAGCTTGCTTTGAATTTAATTGATTGAAATAAAAAATGCATACGCAGAAGTTTTCCTATAAGAAACAAGTTGCTTTATTTCACCGAGATGAATTCCTCGTTTTCCGGACCTATTGAGCCTGCATTATGGAAAACCCTAAAAGAAGGGCTGCCTGTTTTTCGCAGATAAATCTCCTATAAACAATCTAATCCAGTTTGCGATTTTGCAGTAAGTCATAGTGAGGAGCCTGACGCCAAATAACTTTAAAAGAGTACATAATGTTTAACGTTTTTGTTTTATGCCTTCTATAATTTTCATGGCAGGTTACTAAGCGAAATACAACCACAACGTTGCTGAGATATTTGCAAAACTCTGGACCGCAGGTGTCTATGGTGGGGAACTAACGCGCTCTTATCCTTTCCGGGGAGTAACGTGATTGCTGTGGCAAAAAGATCGATAGAAATAGCTGAGAGACGTGCGAAACACAGGACCCGCATGGTGTGGTGGTGAACGCGTTACTCCCCGGAAAGGATAATAGCGCGTTCGTTCCCCACCATAGACACCTGCGGTCCAGAGTTTTGCAAATATCTCAGCAACGTTGTGAGAGTACATAATATCAATACATCGAACGTTGTCAAGGTAAGCAGCTTCTTCGCTACATTTTTTGCAATCGTTTGATAACCCAAGGAACATAAATGTTGGGCCAAGCGTAGCTTATGTAGATCTCTTTTCTACACTGCAGAATCTAAAAATGATCCGCCACTGAACAAACTCTAAATCATCGCGAACGTCTTTCCACAATTGCTGCAGTGCTTCAAAATTATTTCCTGCACGAACGCTAGCCCACTCTAGCTTATTCTTCTTTTGATAGCTGATCTAACAACTAACAACAGCTTAGCCAGGTTCAACGCCGATTTGTGACTTCCAGATCAATCCCGATGGCGAGTGATTGCTGACGGTAGTGTTAGGGTAAAAACTGGCTGAGATAAAGGCAAAGCAAGAGCTTCGGTGATATAGTGGATTGAACTCTTGGAAAATTCTTATGGGTGAACTTAGCCACAAACACGTCCTCCTATCCTTCAAGCGCTCGTTCGGGAAAACGCATGCTTCCTCGTAGAGTCCATTCTACTATTTTTTTTGGCCATCTGCTATTGTTTTTATTATATCGCCGGCTTATCTGTGTTCCGCTATCGATGTGTATTGTCCTAGATTTCAAAGATGGAATAAAGGCCACATATCTAACAATTTTTTCCTTATCAATATCGTTTCCTCAACATTTATCAATAGATTTTCCATCTGTAGTCGCATCAAAGCGGCGCGTGTAGCGTAGTGGTCAGATACGCTTTACAATACAATGGGATCGATCCCGCACCTTTGGCCCAACACGCCCTTCATCTCTCCGGGGTCAGCAAATTGTTGGCAGACCTGTCTGGGAGGATAATGACTAGAGGAATACCACTGGATAATTTTTGTCGTCAATTAGTTCGTAGCCGCATATATGAGCGTCTATGTGAAACAACAAATTGCGTAATTTGCCCTCATGGCAAAGACGATGACTGCATGACTTCAGGTACGATACACCTGATCTCTTTTAATACTTGCGGAGAACGTATTGGCGGAACGGGCAGACTTTCACATATCCGTATGAAAGAACACCTAGATGGCAAACAAAAGCAAGTCAAAAAACTCCACTAGAGATGCATAGGATACAAAAACATAGAGGAGGCGAGTTTGGTATAAAAGCCACTATGCTCACACATTATGCCGAGACACCCACGCGCAAACTTGGGGGTTTTTGGATAAATGACAAAAATCCCACAATGTAACTAGTGGAGAGTGCCAAGAGATCACACGTGATCTCGCCCGTACCTGGGTCTAACCTTGCAAGATGATGGATTGGTTGATGCAAGATCATCAGCGGACACAAACTTTATATGTTTATGGGACGTGTTGGTCTACCCATTTCATAGTGCGAACTAACGGATGATTTTAAGCCGGCCGCCTTTGCCACTTTGACCTACTAGCTGCTTAGATTTCTCCATTGAGTCTTGTATTCCTTTTCAGATGATGAGCGGTGAACTGGTAGCATTATTTAGATGTTCCTCCGTTATCTTAACATTTAACTGGCGAGGAGTATCTGCGAACTCCATCTTATCACTAATTGATAGTCTAATGGTCTTTGAATTTATTAAATCTCTAATTTCGCGCTAACCACTTTGTGTTGGTGTAAGGTTGGAGAAAAACTTTTTACCGCGTTTATGATTTAGGGCTTTGAGAACATCGTCCAAAAACACGCGGAATCCCTTATTAACTTCCACGTTAGGATCCTGTCGTCTAAAGAAGGCCTAAGGAAAAGGAGAGGGTGTTAACTTCGCCAGCTCTTGATTTCCGCTCTTATTCAATTTTTCTTTTTTGGCCTTATAACGGAGCCGATCTTGAAGTTCGTACAAATTGCTTGCGATCCCACATGGCTTTTTGAGAAATGGGTTGTGATGATGAAAAGCTTTGATCCAATTTTAGTAGCAAGTGCGCTTTCTCAGACATGGTCATGGCCCTAAGTACGACAACGCTAGATTAGCTTAATGCATTATCAACTCTATTTTGACTAGTATCAGGACCGGCTGCTCCCCGGTAAGGACAACAGGGCGTGTTCGTTCCCCACCGCATACACCTGCGGTCCGGAGTTTTGCAAATATCTCAGCATTACATACGAGTTATATTTCGCAACATACCCTGCCATTAAAAAGAAAAAGGCAGTCAATAAAAGGGTTAAGACTTTGCTTATAGTTTCTTGAAGCCGAGTTTACTGAATTACTCAAAAGATTCTCAAACTCTCGTTGTAACGTTATTTTAGCACTAAACCTAATAGAATTGCATAGCAATGCTGACCCACCAACTATTTTTGTTCAAAGTTGACACTCCAAATACAAAACACAAAAACGTCACTTCGTCGGACACTTCTTCATTCGGGAGAACATTTCGCACTGCTTGCTTCATAGTGCAGCTCGAAGTAGTTCCATTGCCACACCTCGTACTTTTTTATCTCTTTAGTTGATCGCATATCTGGTGAAGTCTCGTTCGTTTTATGAACTTCTGCACGACTCAGTGTTGAAGGCAGCGGCGGAGAAAGTCTATTTGTTGTCTACCTAGGACGGTATAGCAGAAGTTTTTTCACAAGTCGGAAGTATTCTGTTGGTACATCTTGTAACAGTTAACAGGACAGACTTTCTATTAATCTCGGCATTTGATTATAAATGTGTGGTTTTCTTTTTCAGCAATTGCGAGATTGTTATACAACACACGTTTACTTCCATACAAAAAACACGCATAATACAACAGTGACTAACGTTTCAGCAATACGGATGATTGTTTTCACAGTCGCTGATGAGCATCCGTTTCCGTTACCAAACAGTACATCGCTCCGTCGGATTCATTGGTGCCCCGACGGGGCAGTTGAAAGCCGCAGCGAATTCTGGTTGATTAGCCAGCACTTGATTTACACTGAAGAAAACTCAAATAGCGATTTAAGCTTGGTGTAGAAACTCTTACAAACAATTCATTCGTATACTTCCTATTCTGTGTTTCTGTCCTCAAGATTTTTCATTGAAAAACCTGCTATACCTCCTCGAGTTGCAGAAGGTACTACGATACTAAGGTTCTGCACTTCACGGCTCTGCCCTTTGCATAGTGATAGCCATGTAACACCTTTACACTTTACGAATGGGAATTTGAAGAATATGACAGAGCAGGGCTCCACAGCCAAACTGCTTAGCCTGGTCAAAAGGCAACCATGTTTCTTTACGTTGTGTAGTTAGTGATACATATACCGATACTTTTCAGGAGCGTGGGGGTCACTGAGAATTCGATTGACCAACTTGTCTCTCGTTGAGTGGCCACACCAGATCTACAAATCACTTCGGTTTTTCGTTGTCATTTTGCCTTGTTATAAGAAAGACTCTTTTAATATTGGGTTGCTCAACATATCACGCAGCTTAGATCTTTTTCATAACAGATAAATTGTGTCGTCTTCGTCACTGGTTTATCACTTTTTTATGGAGGGCACTTCTAATATTACATGTACCGAATTTATGCGGACAACTCATTGTTGAAATGAATTCAACACATTCTGTGGAAAACTCAGTTAGGAGGAAACCACAGAAGCCATCGTTCTGTAAGAAGCTTGTCGCAAGAAAAACAACGACCTTAATTTCGATAAGACAAGATGATCCCTTTGTGGAATGAAATGATAGGTTTGTGAAATTCTGTTCGAAATTTTCTTATCCTGTATTCATTTTCGTTGACCGTTTCTAATCTGGCATTGAAGTCTCCAACATCAAATTTATAGATAGAATTCTCGTTGTGGATGAATTCCTCTAAGTGGTTTTAAAACGCATGCAGTTCGCTCTCATCAGCTGTATAAATTGGTGAGTATTAGCTGACTCTACAAACTTCCTTCTGACGTGAAAGTTGGAGAATAAGAGTGGCCAAGTGCAATAATAGGGTACTATATGAAATGACTAGATGGAAAACGGATAGGTATACGTCAATACGAACTCCTCCGACATTTCCTAACCCAAATTTTCTTTCACGAATGACAATGATTCGGTCATTTAATTGGTGTATGTCAAGCTTCCTGCTTTTCGTGTCTTGTTGTTCATTTCCAATCACGTGTTGTGAAACACGAGATTTGATCGCCTCTCATCGGTTGTCCCACCGCTCGATGTCGTAAATGGGAATGTCCAGTGTAGGAGTTAATGAGGCTGGAATTTTGCTAGCTTGGCTATGGTGGTTTCTCGGAGTCACGAGGTTAGCTCAGCCAATGCTTTCCTCAAGTCGTGGCCACTCAAGGAAGTCGCCGCTCTTGTGGATCAGAGGGAGATTTGCCACCGTACGACTTGCTCGATACTAGTGTGGTGGTGATTCCTGGTGTTGGTTTACTCTTCGCTTGGCTTCCCGGTGAAAACGTCAAACTCTTTCTTTGCTTAAGAGACCCTGCTTGGAGGACGAACCTCTCACTACACATCGCAGCCTAACACACAGGAGCACCTCCCACCACGATGAGGTGGTAAATCGTGCGCAAGAAGTTAACATAAAGCTGTTGAAAAAGTACTAAAAACCGTAACCACTGAAAACCGGCATTCTATCTACGAAAGTAGAAAATGTATAATGCCTAACTCTTTCTCAAACTACACACTTGGCCAAGCAGACATGAAAGCAAATGACTTTCATTTTTTCTGCACACACGGCTCCATAAACGCACAAGAGCCGAGTTTTGCTAAACACATGTTTCATTGGTGATAAAGTGAAGAAAAAAGACCAAGAAAGTGAGTAATTGAAAAAAGTCAACCAAGGAAGAAAATCAGCTTGGCCCTACCCTGGCGTATCCCATGAAGAACATCTGTTCATTATTGTAGTTTTCCAATCCTTTAATGCGTTTTTCTTCTCCCCATTTTTTCCGATAATTTTTGTACGCCTTAAAATACCATTCTTCTATCTATTGCGTTTTAAAAATATCGAAAGTTTTGAATGGAACAGGATCCATTTTGACTGCTTCCCTGATTTCTTCAGCAATCAAATTAGTTCACTAAACTAGGGTTTTTCCTCATTCTAAGAAAAAGGGTATACCTTGAATGCTTGCTTAACGGCACCATTATCGGCGATATTCTCTCCTTGTGTCAGCTTGCCATTCAAATGGACGCTCACTTCAGGTACCTGTAGCGATTCTTTCTTTTTGAAAAGTCTTCCTTGCTCTTTTTCAGTGTTAAAATCGGTAGATTGGCCATTCACCGGCCATCCTACAGAGACCTCGCCTCCATCTTTTACATTGTGCACAGAATTTGCTACTCTCGCTTTCCGAATTAGGCAGAAGGTATAGAAGCACTAATTATTGACTTGTGGCAGAAGTTAGGCGTCCTCGTGTAAACGCTCATTTCTTCAGGTTTCAAATTTTTTTCGTTCGATATTTGAATTATCCATATCTTGCCGAGATTGATTGGACTCTTCAAGCCTACCTTTATCTTGCTATACTGGTCAACAATACACTGTGCACGCCTTTCAAACGAAGCCTTCGCCTTGCCGTCCCACCAATCTCGCAAGTTCCCAACGGCATCGAATTGCCTACCTGTGAAAAGGAAAGTAACGTTAATGACACTTCGTTAAAATCATATCAAAAGTTTAGCAGCAATAATTCCTTCCATAGATGGCTAGAAGTTTAGAAAAAACACCATGCCGGTTTCTCAACAATTCAATCAAAACGACTCTTTACAATGTTTCAAGTTTATCAAAGAAAGAATACACGTCTCTACACATTGCAACCGCTTGAAGTGCACATAGGCTTCTTTGTTGGAGCCAAGCTTTGATACCCTTTCCGTAGATTTCCAACCTACTTGATCACAAGACAGCCAAACGTGCAAAATACAATTTCCATACACGTTGGCACATACTCTTAAGTGTGCATTGATGTGATGACGTCTACAAGGAAGATGGGCATGGTTGTTTTTGATCATTACAGAGCCCCAATGCGCCACCTTAGCATACACGACTTGGTTTAGGAGCTTGCTGGTTCCAGAAGGCCGAGAAGAGCCGTAGAAGTAGATAGGAGTACCTTCATCATCAAAGCCATGAGTAATCTCGTGTCCAATTAGTGTCCCAATTCCTGCATAGCTCAGTGCTCTGAAAAGAGATCAGCAGATTATGCAATGCCTGCCTTCCTGTTAATGAGCGTGAAGCAATCGGTGTTTCTTTGCTTCACAAATCTCTCTCCCATTTTATAGTTTTTTCACAGCGAATACTGCACTCTTTTTTTTCTTATATATTAAAACCTTACTTTGGAAACGTTTGATGGAAGAAAGGCACTTGAAGAATGGCTGCCGGTAACTCTGGAAAAAATGTTCTTTGTTATTGCTCATTTCTTTGAATACCGTTGAAAAAACTACGATTTTCAGAGTTTTAATTCCGTTTATATTTATGCTTATTCAAAAAAGGCAGTAATGGTGAGAAATTGCTTACTAATAGAATTTGACGTAAACCAGTAGAAGGCATTTACTTCCGCCGGGTTGAAATCAAATTCATTCCTATCTACTGGCTTTATGAGACGTTTAAAATCGAACTCGATTTTCCATCGAGTCAACTTCTCCACCATCTGACTGTACGAATCCGATTCTTCTATGCGTAACTGAAGGAACTTTTTGAAAGCACAGCTTAAAAGATAGAAGGTAGCTTCTCACTATTTGAAAATGGTTAATCGTTAAATTCCCAACAAAATGCAACGAGTAGTTCCTTCTAGAATTACGAAAGACGTCTGCACATGAACTACTTATTGGTTTTCACTCGTGGGTTAACGCCAAGATAAGAAGGCCTTTTATTTCTACTTTTTCCTGTGAAGGTTTCGCTACTCTTGGTCATTAGGTTTTATCGTCGTAACGGCTCATTGTATGCTGCGTTTCTGGTTGTAAAGTGTTTTTGTTCGCAGCTTTAGAGATCCTACGAAGGAATGCGTTCTCCCCTATATGTTGTTACGTAAAGGATGAGTGTATTGGAGTGGATAGAGGAACTCGACAGTACAAACTTGGACACTGGTTCGATCCCGCTTCCCGCTTTACAAGCTATCCATCGCTCACCTGTAAAGAAACTTCATGAAGCCGATTGTAAGGTGCATCCCTCACAGAATGATTAGTCACGAAACCTTTATAATTCAATTTTGTGATTGGATTTGTAAGATCAAGAATGACTTGTTTACAAAAATACCGTGCAAGGACGGGAGGCCTTTGGTTTAATATTCGGCTGTGGCTTGTGTATGCTATGTGGTTCCAATAAAAAAATACAAGTTATTAACCCTTTTAAGAGTCGCAAGTACTTTATTACAATGTTTTTACGGTCCTTCTCTTTCCCAAATTTTTCGATTATTCGAAGGAAACACCGAAGTGTCAATATGTTCGAAAGAGAGTCATGCAAAATGTAGGCATTACTCGTATGGAATACCGGGCAAATTACTCACCTCACTGTAATAATCGTCCAGCTTCTCGTCGTCGAGAATAAAATCTGGATAGCCAGTCTGTCGAAGTAAATGTCTTACTTTATCGAGCGCCCTCTGTAGAAAGTTTCTGAACTTATTTCAATGCCTGTTTTCCAAAATTATTCTCCACTAACCGCTTTCGTAGTCTCATCCATCCAGCCGTTCCCTGCCACCATGTTGTAAAATGCATCTTGTAGATCGTCGACTATCTCCAGCGTCAGATTTTTCAATGTCTGTGAATTTCTACGCTTTACGTTACTAGAAATTGAAAGCAAAAGAGTGCATATTTTGGCGGATCCATTTTACTACCTCAATTGGTTGAGTACATCCCTCCCTTGCAAAGATCCGCTCTTTCAGCTAAGGTTACTTTATTAGAAAAAAACTGAAGAAATTAATTTAGAGCGACAACACACAAAAATAACGCAGATAATTCTGTGTCCATTGAGAATTAAATTTCATTGATGAAGATCCCACCTCATCGAATGCCTTTCTGACATAGAGCGCCCCAGCAGCGTACTGCATTTGGCGCATTGTCCTGCTGGTGCAGTCTTTCCACCGAGGAACCTTCTTTTTTCGTCCGTAAACGACGTGATAGAACTCCTAAGAACAAATTCGCTTACGTAGGCTTCTTGCAATAAACAAGTTTCTAAGGAATAAATTCTAGACAATAAAGTAGCAGCGACTGCACATTTTCTTATGCAAATGTCTTTTTTTTTAAAAATTTAATCCGTTTTGAAGCCTACTGTGGGGATCCCAGCACTTCTCATATTCGACTCGTTTCCTCACATTTATTATCCACGAAGTTCTTCCAACTTTTACGTGTGGTTTTGGTTGCTGCTTAAGGATTTCCATTTCATCTTGAATGTCGTAGAATGCTGGTTGAGCAATTCTCCCTGGAGTCCTCAGATAGCCGGACTGGAGCGTTCCAATTGGATTGCAGAGAGTTACTTTTTCATGAAAAAGTGCCATACCAATTTTCCGACCCCGGAGGGATGAGAGGTTTGGTTGGCCCGGAGCGGAGTGGAACAAGCACCATGTTCGTGATGACGGACGTCACTACCACTGTGATATCTGTCCCCTGTCTTTTTTACGGCAAAAAATTTAAAGGCGTTCAATGACTTTATATTATGAAATTAAAAATTCCACGCTCTTCAAGAATTTAGATAGATAAAAAGTTTTCTCATGTCGAGTGTACAATTAAAATTCTGCTAACCTGGGCGACGCTTTCATATCGCTCACCGAGCTCCGAGAGCCAACTGGACGAGTAGCGAATGTAAGCGTAGTTTGTGATAATCCTTGGATCCGTCGAGTTGATGAGATCAGCGACTCTGGAATCTACCTCTGAATTGCGAACATAGAAAGGATTTTCCACTATTCCTATCACCTTTTCATATAATCTATTTCTCTCACAAGTACTTGTGGATCATCAGCCAAATAGTTTTTGATTGTGGGCGGCGCAATGGAGTGAAAATATCTGGTCCAGTCAACCTGAAAGCACCGGTAATTTTTTGTTTATAATTTAGACGGTCTCACTCTTTCATGAATCTTATACTTCTAATGGAGATTTTAGTTTAGAATGCTTTTGTCCATTCCATAACACATGTGACGGTTTTGACTTTTCGAGACTTGCTGTTAAGTTCTCGCTCATTAGGGCAATTGAACTTTTGAGAGCTTCATAGAGTTATGGAAGGAAAGTCATTTCGCCTCTTCAAAAATGAGTGCGACTTCAAGAAAACGTTCTTTCCAGAACTAGATTTATTTAGGACTGGGATTTTCAAATAAGCGAAAACAGGGTTTAAATTTATGGAATTTGCAACACAAACGCACCACTACCAGGTTCAAATATTGCATTAAGGAACAACTTCGTGTCGCGCTGGACGAAATACCGCTTTGTTCATTTGCCTTGGTGTAAGAACTACCCGTCTTATCAAAAAACCGAGGGTGTAGATATTGCAAGCTTTGGAAAAACGCAGTTTCAACTTGGTGGAATAGAAAACCTGCTTTAATTTGTGAAAATAAATCGGTGTAAGCAAAAGTTAAAACATTGTGATTTCGATTACAGCTTCAGGTTAACTGGGTTCCATTCCCATTATGTGTTCTCCAGATCATTCCCGTTGATGGGTGATTGCTGAGCGCCGTTGGGATAAAAAGACTGGCTGACAGAAAGGTAAAGCAAAGGCCTTGCCAGGTGGACAGCATGTGAACCACTAGTGAAGGCAATCCCAGGTTCGGAGCTCAACTGAGGTTCCGATTTTCCTCATATCTGAGAACCATTGTGGCAAGAAAAAAAATGACCCTTGCTGCCAATGACAGTTCCGATGTTTAGTCGTTCTTATCCCAATTAATGATGCCTATATCTGAGATATGTCTGTTCGATTTCCAAGTTGGCCAGCGCTTCCGTGCAGCATTAGTAGTCCGTAATTCCTATGGTCGCGAATGTTTTAATTAGGAGCTAATAGGAACGAAGCTCGATATTTTGCAACGGAGAATATTTAAAATATTCTTGTCAAATCAAAAACTCAAGAAGCAACTTAGGATTTCAATTGTTAAATGCAATTTCTTAAAGAAAAAACCAGTATACATTTTTATTTTTGATCGGTCAATTTGCTTTTGATCAACTATGTTCCCACCAAAGGCATGAGTGCTTGCATCTCGTTGAGACGTAATAGATTGTATTTTCTTGTGTAGTTCCTTCGATCCTCCTCGGCTACTAGGATCTTCGCCAGCTCGGTTTCGAGGTCGATAATCTCATCCACATCGCTAGCAATTTTGCGCTCACTTATAGGGAGACCGACATCTTCGTTGAATAGTGTTACCTTAAACACTCGTTTCAGTGAGTTCGTTTTTCAAGTTCACATAATTTACACTAACTATTGATTTGTCTTAGAAGAAAACTTGTTTCGTGGAGGCACAGTGATCAACAACCTTGTTGATAAGGAATTGTCTGTAAGCAGCGATTATTTTCCCATGCTTTTCTCTGTCCAAATAGTAATCGCGAGTCGAGTCGCCTAAGCTGAGTTTTCCTTGGTCAAACTAAAAAAGGGTTATAATGCGCATGCTAAATAGTAAAATATACGAGAATTATTCAGCTATAACTGATTGCGACGCATAGGATTTACCTTTGAAGAGCTCAAACAAGATTAACTCTCTTACGTGTATCAGACTCCGGGAAACATTTTTGTAGTCAGGCCTGACGTTGTTGGTTATGAAAATGTGGGCTCCTCTGACCGCTGCGATGCTGCTAAGGAGCGTCGTCAAATCAAACTGATCGACACGCCACCTGTTTCTTCCCAGCATTGGCCACTCGCCGTAGCTCTATATCGTCAAAAAGAAGAGTTAAAATTTACTTATAGAAACTCCTTTACTGCTGTTCTTTCTACTTTTGCTATCGATTTTTATCACTTTATCGTTGTTGCGGGCGCGTGTGGAGCAGTGGTCTGAGGCGCCCAGCAACACCCACGTGGAATCGATCTCCGCGCTCATGACCCACCAAGCCCTCCACCCCTCCGGGGTCGGCAAGTTGGTACTAGACTTGTCTGGGAGGATGGCAGCACTGGCTCGATACATCGGTATGCCACCGCGAGTCATTGTAAAGGCGAAATATGCATTCGGTCATCTCCAAATTATGAAGTCGAATGCATGGCGCATCCTTCAGGGATTGATCAACGCCAAGAGCTTTGTCCTTTATCCTTTATCGTTGTTGCACAATTATTCGTCATTTTGTCTTCCTTTCCTTCTAACGAAATTACCTTTTGATATGAAAGCCTTAGAATTAGAATTAAATTGGAGACAATGAAAGTTTGCCTGTTTATCTGTAATTAAGAAGAAGGTTCCTGTGGTTTAGTAAGTTTGGAAATTGCTCACCCTTATTGTCTCTATCAGTTTTCTTGCACCAATTCGGTTAAGCTCGTGTTTTTCCATGCATTTTCGGTAGATCGCCTTCACAGCAGCAGCCGATTTCGACGAGCTCAACTCTTTTGATTCGAAGATTGCTGAAAAGTGTTCGTCATAAGCCGAGCAGTACAAAATAGACGATTCCGCTGTTGAAATTCTGGTCCGCGGATTAGGTTAGGATGTGCACCGCGACTATGTCCATTGTGAACAACATTATACTGTATGGAAGCAAACTCATTTCTTAAAACAGTTATTACTACCTCTCATTTCCGCAAGAACTTTATCGGACAGGATGTCAAACTGAGAGTAGCTGGTTCTATCACCTAGAATTGGGTGTTTGGCTTTCCAGTTTCCACAAACGAATTCGAAGAAATCTACACATGGGTCGACCTGAACAGCACAGACGATAATGACTGGAATTTAGAAAACTGAGGGAGTTGCTTCTCTTTCATTATTTCACAATACACATTTGAAGACTGATCGATGTTAAAAGTTTTCTTCGTTTCATTAATCTTTAGACTGGGAGCGGTTAACGCAGTGGTAGCGATCACGTTCATTACGCAGACGGCCCAACCCACTAAAGAGCAGGGTCGATGCCGCGCCAGGCTAACCTTGTCCTTCAACTGTTCAACTGTCGAGTTTGGGAAACTAGCAGCAGAATAGTCATGGACAGTCAAACCCGTTCTAATCGAACCGAGAACGCCCCAGCACGGCTATTTCTAAACTACGAAGAGCATTGATTCGACCAGTATTAAACGACATTCTTGACGAATGGGAAAAATTCCTTAGGCAGCAGCCGAACATATACGCAAAGATATAGAAAGCCTTCGTAAATTTGGATGCCAGAAAGCGAATCGAATGCATGAACTACTGGTATCGACATAGCGTGATAAATGTGATGTCGGGTCGTCTAATAAAAAACTATCGGATAAAGCTCTTGGCACCGATCAATCCTGAGGGATGTGCCATGCATTCGATTTCACTAAGCGTTTTAAAACGTGAGTGATTGCATATCTGGCCTATAAAAACAGTAGCGGTGACCCACTGATACATTGAGTTAATACTGCTATCCCACCAGAGAGCTCTCGTACCAATTTACGGAACCACGGAAGCATAGGTAGATAGGCGAGCCTAGACTAAGGGATCGAATCCATGTGCATTGCAACCCACTGCTAACCACTTTGCTGCACCAGCCCTTATCTAATAATAATAGTTAGCAGTAATATTAATCAGTAGCAATAATCAATAATAATAAATAATAATAAACTAGGAACTACTATAACTAACTAGGAATACTATTAATAACAATTAGTGATAATAGTATAAATGATAATTAGTAATAATTAAGGTAATAGATTAGATAATAATAAAATGATAATTAGTAATAATAATAATAATAGTACTACTAAGAACTTTTTTTTCACATAACCCGTCTTTCACACCTACTGTGCGGAGTGCGGATGCCATCACTTCTCACATTTGATTCGCTTCCTTGCATCCACTATCTACGAGGGTCTTTCAAGTTTTTGCATGTGGTTTCGGTTTCCGCTTGAGAATTTCAACTTTCGTCGTGAATGTCGTTGAACGCTGGTCGAGTCTATTCTACCTGAAATCCTGAGGCAGCCAGCCTAGAGCGTTTCCACATGGGTTGCAGAGAGTGTACTTTTCCCAGACAACTCTGTTACCAATTTCCCGACTTTACAAACCAAGTCAGCACCGTACTCGTGATGGTCGGAGTCACTACCACTGCTCTAGTTGCTCTTAGTAATAATTTAATAATAATACTTATAGTTATAATCATAACGGTAATGCTGGTAACAACAGTAATGATAATAAAACTTTTTTTTATCATGCTCATGATAGTAACATCTTATCAAAATTTTCCTTCTATATGTCATCAAAAGCAGCACCAACTACAGATACAGGACACACTGCTCGCCAAAATGCAGAACATACTGAAGTCGGCAATCGATGGACACCCATTCTATATAAAAGAGCACCCACGAGTGAAGCTCCAATTAGAGCGGTGGACAATTCACTAGATTGAACTCGATGCGGCAACGAACAGCTAGGGACCATCGACTCGGACTACCGTGGCTCTGAGGAAGGCGAAGGAACAGAATCGTTATCCGAATAAAAGCTTTTGTACCAACCTCATGTCGGCTAAATGGTACAGAAAGTTGTCAATAATGATTAATAATAATAATAATAATAGTAATAATAATAATAATAATAATATAATCGACATGTTTTAAATTGTTGAGCTTACACGAGGTTGATAAATAACTTTTATTCTGCTAGCGTTCCGACATATTCGTCTTCATCAGAGCAGGTGATCTGAGTCGATGGTCCACATATCTTCGTAATCTCGATGTAGTGCCTTCGCAGTTGTACCGAGACGGATCTTCTTCAGTGAACATTATACATACAATAATAGTAATGCTAAATTTTTGCTTACCGCCTATTACAATCTTTCACGGCGGAGTCTTATGTTAAACACAACTATAATGATACTGAGATATTTAACGTTTTGTTTTCTGCCTTCTATAGTTTTCATGGCAGGTTACTAAGTGAAATACAACCATAACGTTGCTGAGATATTTACAAAACTCTGGACCGCAGGTGTCTATGGTGGGGGACGAACGCGCTAGTGTCCTTTCTGGGGAGTAACGCGTTCACCACCACACCATGCGGGTCCTTCGTTTCGCCTGTCTCTCAGCTATTTCTATCGAT